AGTCCTGCACCCTCATGCAGAGCTCCTCATGTCCCAGCTCTCGAGCCCTGGGGGTGTATAGAGATGAAGGTGCCATGGAGTACTTGGTATCAGGGAACCAAAAGCCAGACTTCCTAGGTTTGACTCCCAGCTTAGCAGCTGTGGGAACTTGGGCAAAGGAACTCTAACCTCTCTGAGTTTCAGCCTCCCCTCATCTGCAAACCAGGAATAACAATTCACAAGGTGTTATAAAAACTAAATCAGTGAACATGTACAACACTGCAAATATCAATGTATGGGTAGTAGTACTATTATTGTTGTCCTTGGTTTTTGTCTTACGCCTGAGTCCCTAGAAGCATAGCCCAAGATGGGGACTCTTGTGTAAATGGTTTATTGGGGCACTGTCTGGAGAGAAACATAAGGGAAAAGGGAGGGGAGAAAGGCCAAAGAGCTAAGCCATGTGGTGACTTCAGTTGAAGTCTGGGCTCAGCCTGAGCTCTAGAATGTGAATGGCACCACAGAGCTGCCGTACTTTGAGTTGAGGCATGAATAAGTCATTATCTGGGAGCCATCCATGTGGAGAGAACACAGCCACTCACGGGGATGGGGAGCAGGGGCTTTTATTAGCAGAGGGAAACTCTTCAGAGAAGGGTGCCACTGTTGGTCTTAGAAACCAAGCACCCCAGCAGCTGGACCCAGTAAAGGGGAACCGAGTGAGGCATGAACAACATTGACTAGGTTAGTGTGAGTCATCAAATGCCACCTCTTTCACAAGTTCTGTCCATCCTCCCAGCTAGAAGTCATCTTCACATGCCCATAACATTTTCTCTCTACCATGCATACTAAACTGAACTTTGTTTAATACTGTATTGTAGCCATTCACATACAATTCTTGATGAGTATTTTCCTTGCTCCATGCTCATCCCTCTGAGCCCTTGAGAGCTGAGATGGTGCTGAAGATGGGGCTGTCCATCATGCCTGCACTATATCCCCAGTAAGTAGCACAGGGCTTGGCATGTGACAGGCTCTCAGCCAACCTGACCAGTGCTGAAGGATGCCCTTATCTCACACATGCCAAGACATGGAGTAATATAATGTCAGTCCTTGGAAATACATGAACAAAAAAATTAATATTCAAGTTTTAAAGCCCAGATACCAGTAAAAATTCTCTTGTGCAGTGATTGTAGATGAAGCATCTGATGTTTTCAGTAACTCAGAGTGTCCACCGCGAGTGTCCTGATGCACCTCCTTAAATGTTGTGTTTTAGGCCGGGCATGGTGGCTCACGCCTATAATCCCAGCACCTTGAGAGGCCGAGGCAGGTGGATCTCACTTGAGGTCAGGAGTTTGAGAGCAGCCTGGCCAATGTGGTGAAACCCCGTCTCTACTGAAAATACAAAAATTAGCCAGGCATGGTAGTCCATGACTGTAATCCCAACTACTTGGGAGGAAGAGGCAGGAGAATTACTTGAACTCAGGAGGTGGAGGTTGCAGTGAGCCGAGATGGTACGACCACTCCAACATGGGCAACAGACTGAGACTCTGTCTCAGAAAAAAGAAAAAAAAAAGGTGTGCCTTAGGTACCTCACTCATTTCAACCTAGTGTCAACCATGATGCCCCAAATCATCAGATTGATAGCCATTATGTGCACCCAAGGCAGCATTACTTTATTCACCAACTGCTTGTTCTGGGCCAGGTATTATGGTCACAAATATGGAAATCACAGCTGGTCATTTCCTCAAGGAGCTGCTGGCATTTGGAGGATACAGACATGAATGCAGACTGTCTCAGCATCAGATGGAGGGCACTGGGAAGGAAGGGTATGCCAGCAACACCTCTGATCTCTGCTGTAGGTGGAGGTGATCACGGCAGGCTTCACAGAGAAGGTGACGCTCCAGCTTTGTCTTGAAGGTTGGGGAGGAATTTGGCACAAAAGGACATGGAGAGAACTGCAATATGCATACAGGTGGGAAAAGGGACAGGCTACATGGCTGGGGAAGGGGAGAGTGATTTGGAATGACCAAACTTTCTGGGCCAGAAAATGGCTCATCTCAGATTCCTGAAAGAAATATTCATTGAGGAGCTTCCAGGTTGGTGAACACATGGGCATATTGTGAGCACAGCACACCTGGAGAGGACACAGAAGCTCCACACCATGCATGTTTCTTCCATTTGGCTGTTTATGAGTTGTATCCTTTATAATAAGCGTATAATAAACAGGTAAACAATAAAAAAGAAAAGTGGAGGAGCCGGGCACAGGGGCTCACAGCTGTAATCTCAGCACTTTGGGAAGCTTAAGTGGGCAGATTGCCTGAGTTCAGGAGTTCGAGACCAGTCTGGGCAACAGAGTGAAGCCCTGTCTCTACCAAAAAAAAAATTAGCAGGATATGGTGGCATGAGCCTGTAGTCCCAGCTACTCAGGAGGTTGAGGTGGGAGGATCACTTGAGTCCAAGAGGTTGAGGCTGCAGTGAGCCATGATCACACTTCAGCCTGGGCAACAAAATGACACCCTGTCTCAAAACACACAGAGAGAAAAGAAGTAGAAGAAAGGAAAGGAAATAAGGAGGGAGGAAGAGGGAAAGGAAGAATGAAAGGAAAAAAAGGAAAGTTGTCACTAAGGTAAATAGTAGCATAATAATCAATAATTTGTTGAGAATCAACTACATTTCAGAACCTTTACAGTCATTCATTATATCATTTAACCTTCACTATAATCCTGTAAAATCCATATTAGGACTCATTCCTCCATCTGACAGGTAAGGGCGCCCAAAGGTTACATGACAGCCCATCATTCTCTAGCTACTAGGAAGCAAGGTCCCGGCCTTTCTGACTCTCTCCAGAGAGAGAAAGGAGTTACACCTTCACATTGACCAGGGCATTTAAAATCTGTACATCTGTGCCCAAGAGGTCCATAAAGTTGGTTGAGTCCAATAAATTTCTGAATAGACTTCCTCCTATAGTTGATTGGGATTTTTTGGGGGGGAGTTGTTTGTTTGTTTAATTTTTTTTAGTGAGATGGGGTCTCGCTGTGATGCTCAGGCTGCTCTTAAACTCCTGGGCTCAAGCAAACCTCCCACCTCAGCCTCCCAAAGTGCTGAGATTACAGGTGTGAGCCACCATGTCCGGCCTTCTAGTTGACTGTTGATTCCTTAAATGTTTTTTCTCCCACCTTAAAAGGATGACAGATTCGTTAAGCTATGAGACACTATCTGCTCATTAACGTGTGCTAAATTGCCATGCAATTTCTATGGAATTAAATTACACCTTAATGAATAAGCAAATAATTCGTCAAGACTAATGTAACTCTCTTGAATGCCAAAGTAAGACTTGGACCATTTACTTATCAAATGTTGATTTAAAGAAAACTCACAATGAAATAATAAATAAATCATCAACTCAAAAGTTTAATTTGGTATTCTGGCTCAATCAGGAAAATGTGCATAGCACCAGGTACCCTCCTTGGTTTCCAAATAAGGTAGCAGTCAGAAATATGAGCCCATTCATTTTCATACAGCTGTACAATTACCTGCTAAGGCTATGTAGCTAAAATACACACACACACACACACACACACACACACACCCCTCACTCATACACACACAAAGCCAAGCACCATAGCACCTACGCTACTTGATAGGAACCATATTCAAATGCAATAGAAATATTCAAAGCAAATTTGCTATTTTGTAGAATCTGCCTGACCCTGAGCACCCCTGTAGATCGAGATAAGAAATAGGATCATCTTCCTGCTCTAGAGTTCTCAAAGTGTGGTCCCTGAACCAGCAGCAATAGCGTCACCTGGGAACTTGTTAGAAATGCAAATCTCAGGTCACTCCCCTCCCACTCCACCCCCAGACGTGCTGACTCACAAACTCTGGGGGTGGATGATTCTTCTAAGTGATGCTAATACAGCTACAGTTTGAACCACTACTGTGTATGTATAAAATACCAAAGGAGCTAGGGATTTTCCCCCAGATAGACCCAAGTATGAATTCTAGTGGCTAAATACCAGTTGTATTACCTAGGCTGGTTATTTCACTTCTCTGAGCCACACTTTTATCTTCTTTTTCAAAAGAAAATAAAGAGATGAATGATACCACCTTCGTAACATTGCGGGTGAGGCCACTGAGATGACCCAAGTGATGCCAGCAGAGCGAACACAGACCTCTGTGGATTCGGCATCATCCCCTCTCCCTTCTAAGTTCCCATTCGAAGAGCTTATTTCCAAGAATCCCCTTCCCATGTGGTTCCCAGCAGAGCCTGCCAGTGAAAGGACTTGGCTAGACCCAGAAAGCACAGAGGAGGTGGGGTCAATAGCCTTGGAGGTAGTTGCAGCCAGGCCTGTGTGGTTCGTGCAGCTTCCCACGTGGTTCCTGAGAACCACCAGCTTTCCCACCATAGTCTAAGAACATTAGGTTGGCATTTCCACACATTCTTGAGCATTAGAGCTCATCAGAACTTCTGTTATGGCACTTCAGGATAAGTACAGCCATGATAGAGATCCAAATGTCTTTTATAGTCCTAAGTCCTTTGAATAAAGCCCTTACTCCCTGGAATCTATAGTGTACCTTCTGCTCTCCAACCAAACCCTGAGATACACATCTAATTTCCATCCTTACCCAGGAATACCTTATTTCTATAATAAGCAGTAAAACCTACTTTCTCCAGACTCGAGGGAAAGTCTTGGGATCAAAGAAAGACTTTCCTTTCTTTAAAGACTTTCTTTAAAGACTTTCCTTCAAAGAATCATGCAGGTTCACTGTCACATTACACTCATATATCCATAACCTATTTTTGTATTTCAAATGACTGCTTACAGATTTCCTGCAATTTTGAGTGTGATTTTGCTTCGTTGCAAGCCACCTGCCCCCATGGAAACCAATCATCATTATTTATGCAAATCAATGGAGAAATATGATTCAATTAACAGAAACTTGCTTAACAGTCATCATGCATTGGCTTGTTTTTTATTTGACTTTTAATGTTTTTATAATGTCACATAAGCCGTTTTTCTCCCCTCTTCCAGAAAATGACTAAATGTAAAAGACAAAATAATAATGAAACCTCAAATAGGTAAAGCATTTACAGCACTTCAAAGCCTCCTGATAGTTTATCTCTGGTCAACAGATATTCTCAGACTCCTGCAGAGAAAGAGAACGAGATACAGAGAGGTCACACAGGTTGTTAGAGAAGAGCAGTAACTAGTACTGTAGTTCCCCGAAGGCTCTAACAAATCCCAGGTCCTTGTTGCATGAAAATAAGTCTGTGATTAGATACTAAATAAATTATCTAGTCCTCAGTAATAAATTCCTTATTAGCAGAATTAGGTCACAGCTACAAAAGTGGTTCTCTCTCTCTCTCTGTCTCTCTGTCTGCTAAAAAAAGACTTTTTTTGGAATTTTACCCATGAAAATCTGAATGGGAATTTGAGTTCTTTGGCTAAAAGGTTTTTCTGAGAACATGGGCAGCTTTCCAGACTTCTGTTTTATAATGAATATTCCTACTATTTTTGACTTCTCAGTGTTCCAAGGCCATGGCTACCCAATTTGGCTGTCGTAAGAATGTTGTTACACTAAATCTGTTAAGCTCTGCAACGCAGAAGATTTCCTGAAACCAATTCATAGAGATGGTATCATTGAGGATATGGAGGAGGAACATATCCTAAGACATTGGTCCCATTGATTTTCAAGTTGGGTAAGAAAATATAACTGGCGGTGAAAATGAAAGTTGAGGCATATTCTAAAATGAAATCTTAGAACAAGAAAGAAAAATAAAAAATGAAAATAAGTGGCAAAGATATCCATATAAATCTCTCATACTAAATTTTTAAAATCTCTCACACTGAGTTGAGTGTATAAACAGGATGAATGCTACCCAGACAACTGCAACTTTTGTCTCCTAGGGTTAGATGGTCCCCCCAGGCAGCCTGCTTCATCAGGATCTAACATGACCCTTCAAATTGTCTCTCAGAGATGACCAGCCATGTCTGGTCCATGGGAAGCATGGAAATGGAGAGACAGGATGCTTGAAGATTTATTTGAAAAGAGCTGTTCCCTACCTAAAGGAAGGCTTGCTTTCTAATACTGTGTTAGTTATCCTTTGCTGCATAACATATCATCCTAAAGCTCAGTGACTCAAAACAACCATAATGATCTGTAATTTCTCACGGTTCTATGCCAGCGGAATTCAGGAGCAACTTGGCTGGTCAGTTCCTACCTGGGTTTTCACAAGGTTGCAATCAAATGTCCTCCAGGACTGCTGTTATATGAAGGCTTGATGTGGGCTGGAAGATCCACTCAAAGGTGGATTATTCACATAGATGGCAGAGTGAGTACTGGCTTTCGACAAGTTCTTCTCTGCAATGTCCTCTCCGTGGGGTTACTTGAGTGTCCTGTAGGGATGGTAGCTGGCTTCCTCCTGAGTAAGCAAATCAGGAAAACAAAGCCAAAATGCTACAATACCTTTTATGACCTACCCTCAGAAGTAACGCCTTGTTATTTCTGCCATATTCTATTGGTCACATAGGTCAGGGCTAAATTTTTATAGGAGGTCATAAAAATCAAGAGGCAAGGATCACTGGGGACCTTTAGGAGGTCTGGCTAGCACAAATACTGATGCAGTCTGGGCACAGTAGCTCACATCTGTAATGCCAGCATTTTGGAAGGCTGAGGCAGGAGGATAACTTGAGCCCAGGAGCTCGGGACCAGCCTGAACAGCATAGTGCAGCCCCCACCTCTAAAATAATAATAATAATAATAACTCATGCATTGCATATGACTTACACTGAGAAATCTAGAAAAGGCTGGCTAATGCAGTAGTGTCAACAGAGTGCTGGGCAAAGGATGCGGCATTTCATGGGCCAGATGTGGAGCTCTCTGGAAGAGACCTGATGTGGAGTTACCTAATTGGAAACATGGGTATAAAGGACCAGGGGTTAGATTCATGAAAATGAAGCCTGAACAGCTACACAGGGTCCTCCACTCAGTAGGACCCCACACTTGAGTGTAATGCACTGACATTGTCTTCTTGAAATTCTGAATACTTTTTGAACAAGGATCCTGACATTTTCATTTTGCACTGGGCCTCACAAATTATGTAGCCATTCCTGCCTCAGCAGCCAAAGGTGAAAATAGTGACCCATGGAAATAAAGAGGTGATTGCTCTGTCAGGAAACCATGGATGTCAGGTCCTCAGGGATAGGGTTTCCTAATGAACTCATAAAAGCATCTGTAAGAAAGTTAAGTTCTAAACTGCTGCAAAAACTAAACAGATATCTAATTGCTAGATTTCTCCAATAGCCTGAGTTCCTCCAAAAAGCAGAGTTTAAGACAAGGGTTTGCATGCAGGTAGTTTGTTTTGGGAAATGACCACTAAAATAAAAAATGGGAGTTAGAAAGAGTAAAAGGGGAGGAGAAAGAGCTGGTACAAGGTTGCATCATTGAACTCATTGTTTGTGGGCAACTGGGGCTCAATCTCACCAGAGGGCTTGCTAAGGAGCTTTGTAGGATGCTCTGCAAGATTGACCTTCTAAGACAAAGAAAGAGGAATCATTTGTCCTCCAATTGCCACCCTGATGGCCAAACATTGCTCTGTGGGTTTATAATGCTCTCATGCATGCATCAGAAAGGCTGAGTGGATTCCTTTGGGATGCTGCAGGGTGGAAGCAAAGAAGCCCTAGAGCAGAAAGCAAAGAATATGCTATGTTTCCAAGCGAATCCCATTACAGCTGGTCGCTGAAGCAAGAGATGGAGTGAAAAAGTGGATGCTAGGGGCTCCCATGGCACTACAATCTCCATGCCAAAGTCAGCCAAGCAATAACTTTCTTGCTCCTCTACTCACTCCTTCCCTGAACTCCATCCCTGGGGAGATGGGGGAGGGAAAAACTAGCAAAGATAGAAGAAACTCTCTCTAGCCCTTCCCCAGTTGAGGCTTCCCTCTTGAGCTAGCAGAAGGCAAAAGCCTCAACTGTAATCAATTTGGAATTACACGGGAACAGGTAGTTTAATTCCTCCATTTGAGACATTGCTTTACGATAAAATGAAAAGAGCCTAGGAAAGTCCTGGGGCCTGCCTGAGTTTTCTTCTAGGGCCATGGGGATTAACAAGCCCCCAGAGTGTACTTAAAAGTGGTTGGATGGTGTAAGCTGGAGAAAGCTACTTTGTGAGTATCTCCTCCAAGCTTGTTCATCCTAATCGAAGACATTAGAAATATCCAGAATGCACTTGATAAAACAAGAAGACAATGTTAAGGGGGCAAGGGGGAATGTGGTGTTAGTTGCATTCCTTTCATGACACAAAAATGGAAGCCAGAACTCGCGTCCATTTCACATTTCTTTGCTTTTTGAGATGGTGTTCATTCTGCCTGAAATATCCTGCTCCACTATCCAGTTCACCTCCCCTATCATTTGTCCCCTCCTGAGACAGGGAGGGTTTTGTTATTATCATTATATAGTATTATCATGTGTATAGTCTGCCTTATACTAGAGATATTTATGGAGGCTTTTTTAAAAATAGAGCAAAAATGACACAAATTAAAAGGCATGGAAAATGAAAGAAAAAAAATAAAAACCAAGTGCAGGAAATTACAACAGAGTACAGAGCGAGACCCTGTCTGTTGCTCTACACGTACCTTAAGTTACTGACAGGTGCTAGGGGTACAATTTTGGCTCTCAACTCTCTATTTTGTACCAGCAGCTGATACAAAAAAAGGGAACCTGATCCAGTCTCAGTCAGCAACCATAAGGCAAAATTGCACCACTTCTCAGGAAAATTAGAGCTACTTCTGATTCTGAAGTCAGGTGGACAATTGCCTCTAGGGTTCTCCTAAAGAGGCACACAATGTACAAAAATTGAACAAAGGCTGGGCTCCATGGCTCACGCCTACAATCCCAGCACTTTGGGAGGCCGAGGCGGGAGGATCATGAGGTGAGGAGATGGAGACCATCCTGGCTAACATGGTGAAACCCCGTCTTTACTAAAAATACAAAAAATTAGCCTGGTGTGGTGGCGGGTGCCTGTAGTCCCAGCTACTGAGGAAGCAGGAGAATGGCGTGAACCCAGGAGGCGACAGAGCTTGCAGTGAGCGGAGATCACACCACTGCACTCCAGTCTGGGTGACAGAGTGAAACTGTGTCTTAAAAAAAAAAAAAAAAAAAAATTGAACAACATGCTCCACAATATCTTTTCTATTTATTTATTTATTTTTATTATTTTATTTATTTTTATTTCTTGAGACAGAGTCTCATTCTGTCGCACAGACTGGAGTGTAGTGGTGCGATCTTGGCTCACTGTAACCTCTGCCTGCAGAGTTCAAGCAATTCTTGTGCCTAAGCCTCTCGAGTAGCTGGGATTACCATGCACCACCATGCCCAGCTAATTTTGGTGTTTTTAGTAGAGACAGATTCCTGGCCTTAAGTGATCCACCCGCCTCAGCCTCCCAAAGCGTTGGGATTATAGGCGTGAGCCACCTGGCCTGCCTAACATCTTTTCTACAGGCAATTCTTTTTTTTTTTTTTTTTTCTGAGACGGAGTCTCGCTCTTGCCCAGGCTGGAGTGCAGTGGCGCGATCTTGGCTCACTGCAACCTCCACCTCCGAGTTCAAGCAGCTCTCCTGCCTCAGCCTCCCAAGTAGCTGGGACTACAGGCATCCACCACCATGACCGACTAATTTTTGTATTTTTAGTTGAGACACAGTTTCACCATATTGGCCAGGTTGGTCTCAAACTCCTGACCTTGTGATCTGCCCACCTCAGTCTCCCAAAGTGCTGGGATTACAGAAGTGAACCACCGCACCTGGCCCAAGCACTTCTTATAATGTCCCTCAATCTGTGACACAGAAATGACAAACAGGAGAGAATCACAAGACCGAGGCTGACTGCAGACACCTTCGGGCCACCATGCACTATGGCTTTAACCCCCTTCATTGCACTCACCATTTCTCGTTGCAGTCATTTCTGCATGCAAGTTTCTCACTTTATTTTTTATTATTTATTTAATTTTTGAGAGAGGGTGTCACTCTGTAGCCAAGTCTGGAGTGCAGTGGTGCAATCACGGCTCACTGCAACCTCAACTTCCCAGGCTTAAATGATCCTCCTACCTCAGCCTCCTGAATACCTGGGAACATAGGTGTGTGTCACAATGCCCCACTAATTTTTTAAAATTATTTTTTATAGATACAGTGTCTTGAGGGTTAAAAGCCAGGTCTTGTTTATGTCTGTGCCACCACTGCCAAACATTTGACTTGGTATATATACAGCAAGATATTTTCTGCATAAATAAGAGAATTACAGAGTAATGCTTTTAATTAATGCGAGGCAACATAGAAAGCAGGAGACAAATGATCAGATGCCATTTCATCTGCAGCTCTTGAGAAACTAAATCATGCACAAATGAGATCAGCCAGCCTCTAGGCTGCAAGAAGCAAGGTGGGATGGAATACTCTTAGCTTCCAGTCAACCTCTGAGTGAAAGTATTGAAATGTATTGTACAGAGATCACAGTTTACAAAGTGTCTCAAAACTTGTCATCAATGTCCATGTTGGTTACTTATTTCTCATAGCCATATCTGCACAGCATGTGCTCCATGTTGACCAGGCTGGTCTCAAACTCCTGACCTCAGCTTCCCCAAGTGCTGGGATTACAGGCGTGAGCCACTGCGCCCAGCCCCATCTCTTTTGAGAATTCATCTTAGAATTTCAGCCATCTCTGAATTTCACTTAGATGGGTCTCTTTGGTTGGAGGACCAGCATGATAAGTCTTGATGTGAATTTTGACTTAGAAGTGTAGTAGATAGTGTTCTTTTTTAGTTTTGTTTTGTTTTTGAGACAGGGTCTCACTCTGTTGCCCAAGCTGGAGTGCAGTGGTGTGATCACAGCTCCCTGCAGCCTTGACCTCCTAGGCTCAAGCAATCCTGCCACCTCAGCCTCCTGAGTAAAAAACTAGCATGTGCCACCGTGCCTGGCTAATTTTTTTTTTTTTTTTTTTTTTTTTTTTTTTTGGAGACAGAGTTCTTTACTCCGCCTCCAGAGGTCAAGCGATTCTTGCGCCTAAGCTCTCAGAGTAGCTGGGGATTACCATTTGCCACCGCACCCAGTTAATTTTGTATCTTGGTATCTTTTAGTAGAGAGCCGACTCCTTAGCCTCGAAGTTGATTCCACCCGGCCTTAGCCTTCCCAAAGTGGAGCTGGGATTACAGGCGTTGAGCCACCCTTGCCTGGGGCTAAATTTTTTCTACAGGAAATTTATTTTTTATTTATTTTTTTTAAGATATGGAGTCTTGGCTGTGTTCGCCCAGGCTGGGGTAGTTATAGTGGGCACGATCTTGTGGCTCACGCTGCAACTCCACTCCCAGGTCAAGGCAATTTCCTGCTCAGCCTCCAAGTAGGCTGGGACTACAGGCTCCACCACCATGCGGGCTAATTTTTATATTAATTTAGTCAAGATGGGGTTATCACAATTGGCCAGGCTGGTCTCAAACTCCTGACCTTGTGATCTGCCCATCTTGGTCTCCCAAAGTGCTAGGATTATAGGCATGAGCCACCACACCTGGCCAAATTTTAAATTTTGTAGACATACGGTCTTACTGTGTTGCCCTGGCTGGTCTCAAACTCCAGGCCACCCAAAGTACTGCGATTACAGGTGTGAGCCACCAATCTCAGCCTTTTTTTTTTCTTTTACAAAATAAAATACACTAAGATTTGAAGAAACCTTACTCATCTTTAAAAAGATTGAATGGCAATGAATCACTTTTCTGCAAAGGCTGGAGTTAAGAGAACCCTTGGTTGATGGCTTTGTTAATTTTTTTTATTATTATTATTATTTAAGATTCAGGTTCACACCTGTAATCCCAGCACTTTGGGAGGCCAAGGTAGGCAGAGCACCTGAGATCAGGAGTTTGAGACCAGCCTGGCCAACATGGCAAAACTCCATCCTTACTAAAAATACAAAAATTAGTCAGGCGTGGTGGTGCACACCTGTAGTCCCAGCAACTCAGGAGGCTGAGGCAGGAGAATCACTTGAACCTGGGAGGGGAAGGTTGAAGTGAACCAAGATTGTGCCACCGCACTCCAGCCTGGGTGACAGAGCAAGACTCTGTCTCAAAACAACAAACGAACGAAAAAAAAACAAAGTGCATGTTTGATCAAGAGTTCAATTCACGATAATCAAGCAGCTCCTAACACAGCTCTCTAGTCACATTTTCCGATTTACTTTTGGGGGGGAAAAAAAAGTCTCTATTTCCCTGTAGCTCTATGGGATAAACCTTCCATACCTCTCTTGGGTTATTATATTTGAAGGATTCCTGAGATACGGAATGAAAGAACTACAAAAAGCTATAATGATCGCTCATATCTGATTTTAATTAGAGAAGAAAACAAATCCCTTGCTCTCCTGCCTCAGCTGGGACGGGATTCTTTTCCACGATGCCTCCATGGTTTTTCTTTCCTTGCCTTGAGCGCAAAGGCGATGTGCATTTTTCAGAAGGAAAGATGGCAAACATGCCCATCTCAACACAAATACATTTTATTAAGTATATATACTCTGCAGAACCCCCTACCCCCGACACACACACACATGCACACACACACAAAATCTAAATGTGCTTTTTAAAAAGGCTGGGCTGGTTTAAAATGTCCTCAGAACCAAAGCAACATACCCCTTTCAGAGTGCTGGAGAAAAGGCTGTTGAACAAGCTTTCATGGCTAAACAGTAGAGATCTGAACAACGTATCTGACTCTTAACTTAGTTTGAGAAGAGAGGCCTCCCTCTCAACCTGTATTTTTGGCTCACTCAAAAAAAAAGTGCTCCTGTCAGCCTTTAATTTCTCTGCCTGGGTCTCTAGTCTGAGGACAGCGTCCTTTTGGAAGGCTTCGGCAATTTCTGTGGAGCCATGTTTAAACTGCGCGAGTGGAAAACTAACTCCCTTTAATAAAAGTGGCATTGTTTTGCAGTCAGGTAATTCCAAGTGGGCTCGCTGGTTACTTTCCATGGGAATAGTCTTTGAGGAAGAAAGGGCCTTTGTTGAGTTTTGTTTTGTTTTGAGAACAGTCAATTGGTTCTTTCTACTCTTCCTTCTGGGGCGCCAATCTTTCCAAGGATAACCACAAAGTGCAAGCAAAAATAATGAAAAAGGAAAGAAAGAAAGAAAATCTGTATGCAAACCCAGGCTGTCATTATCTGGGGTTGTTTTCGGCCGTTCTTGTCTTCTGACTCCTACCTGGCACACAGGTCACTCCTGCTCATTACTGTCTATCTTGTACACGCCTTGCTCGTACATATGGAGGACCGGGGAGGAAAAGCATTGCTGTAAATTTCCTCCTTCTCAAGGAATCCTGCTCCCTGAGTTTCTACTTAAGTGACTTCTCACCTTCAGACTCACTGAGGTTGTTCTTGTTTGGCTTCAGATAAGTGGCTGAGATTTTAATTGTTCTAAATTGGTCTGTTTATCAGGGTAACTCTTTCAGTTTTCTTCAAGACAAATGATTAGGTCCTTCAGTCTTTATCAGTATATTAAGTATGTTCTTCAGGTGTGGACTTAACTTTGCCCTCTACTCCCAGCAACCGTTTCCTTTCATAACTTGGGTGTAGTTTAAACACACACACACACACACACACACACACACACACACACTCTCTTACTCAGAGTTATTTTGGAAAGTGTGTTCTTTATCAGTGACACCATACCAACCTCAAAAGAGTCAAAGATTCCTTAAAAAGGAGAAGATTTTCTATATTAAGTCTGAATTGAGAAAGGGGGAAAGAAAGGAATAAAACAGAGAGTGATAGCAAAAATTAGGAGGTCTCAATGGATTGAAAAGGTAGCAATAAAGGACATTAAGTGTGCACAATGGCTGGGTTCTCTGTATTTTCTCATTTCATCCTTAGGACAACTTAGAGAGATAAGAAACCATATTTTCTCTTTTTAACAGATGAAGAAATTGAAGTGGAGAAAGATAAGAAGCTTGCCGAAAGGCAATGAATGGTAGAATATCTCAATAAGCCAAACTATTTTCAACTTTTTACTGATGAAGTAACTCAGGTTCAGAGATGTAAAGCAATTTGCTCAAGGTTAACCAGCAAATCAGTAGAAGAGCTATGATTCAAGCCAGGTGTGTTGCTCCAAAGTAATTTCAAGGCAAAACCTGAAAAGCAGGAACTGGAAGATGAATGAATATATACTATGAGATGATCTTGTCCTAGTTTAAATAAATCTCAGCCAGCAGCCATCCAAAGAATCTGCTGGAGGAGAAGTGCAGGCTTTTATTGCTCAAGATAGGCTAAGCTATGCTGCAATAATAAATAAAGCCTGAAATTTCAGTGGCTTATAAAAAAAAAAGAGAAGAAAGAAAGAAAAAAAAAACATTTGATTCTTACTCACACAAGTCCACTGCTGGTCAAGCAACTCTGCAGTGCAGCTTTCTTTGGTACTTCCAGTATTCAGACTTCTTTCATCCTGTGGTTCCATCATCCCAATAGAACAATTCTATGGTCACCCCAAAGAAGAAAAGAAAAAAAGAGGAGGCACAATGCTCTTTATAACCTTAGCTGTGAAGTAACATGCATCATTGCCCTCACAGCCCATGGCCAGAACCAATCACTGGTGCCAGTCTTCCTGCAAGGGAAGTCAGGAGACATAGGCAACCCCTTGGGTATTTGGTGGGTGGTAAGTACAACTGTGAGACACTCCCCAACTTTCCTTGGCCTCATTTTTTTTTTTTTTTTTTTTTGAGACAGAGTCTCACTGTGTCACCCAGGCTAGAGTGCTGTGGCATGGTCTCGTCTCACTGCAACCTCCACCTCCCAGGTTCAAGCTATTCTTGTGCCTCAGCCTCCTAAATAGCTGGGACTACAGGTGTATACCACCATGCCCGGCTAATTTTTGTATTTTTAGTAGAGATGGGATTTCATCACATTGGCCAGACTGTTCTCAAACTCCTGGCCTCAAGTGATCTGCCCGCCTTAGCCTCCCAAAGTGCTGGGATTACAGGCATGAGCCACCATACCCGGCCTCCTTGGCCTCATTCTTGAATTTTTAATGTCTCTGTAAAAAAATGAACACCATTGAACCTTAGTATAGGCCTTTCGGGAGTAGCAACAGGTAAAAGCAATTGCAAAATGCTTTCTTCAACAAAGTAGTAACACCTGAAATTTGAGTCATGATGGGGATCTTTCGAATCTCTGGCTACTCCTGAAAAATCTGGAGGTTACCGCTGCAGCCCTCATATGATGGTTTCCAAAAAAATGCAGGAGATCCTCCCACCTCCACATTTAAGAAAAACTGAGAACACCCACCTTTTCGACTGGTTTATGATGGGTTATCTTCAGAACAAAAGAAATACTCTAATTTCAGAGACTTTCAAACAAACTGAGTGTTTAACACATAGGCCTTTTGATTCCCACAGGAGAAACCATCACATAAGCTTATGTTGTTACGTGAAATATGCCCAGGGTGGAATCTCATTAATAAGCCATTGAAGTTGAGCTTAGGCAGAGATGATCCATGAGCTGGATCCAAGGTAACATAGGAACTCAGATTCCTCAAGTGCAGCCTCAACTGCATTCACTTCATATGCCTGTACCATGTCAGGCTCTGATTAGGTAAAAGAGTATTAGTCAATGCATTTTGTTTTTTGCAAGTGACAGAAACCCAACTCCTACTGTCCTCAAACAAAATAGGAAACGTTTTGGCTCCTGTAACCAACCACTACCATATAGAGAAAGCCTGCTTGAGAATGAAGCCAGCCCAGAGGAAAGCAGGGCCGAGAGGAGAGGGCAGAGTTTTTAGGAGTTGATCCAACCCTTGATCCAACTGTACCTGAAGGAAACATGGAGTTGGGTAAGCAACAAATTTAAGGTTTTTAAAATGTGTTGTATAATATTTTGTTTGCTTAGGCTTATTAGATACTAGTTTCTATTGCATATAACTGACAGCCCCAGCCAATAAATATGCTGAGTAAAGTAAAGGACACAGTGAAGTTGTCCTATAAAAAAATATTACTGACCTTGGTTTCTCTGTCTTTCCCAAGTCAGTGTTCATATATAGCTATGTATTACACTCCTACTAAATAACAAGCCCTGTTCTAGGTGCTTCAGATATAGAAATGAAGACACACAAAGACTCTGCCATTGTGGAGTTTATATTCCAGTAGGGGAAATGTAAAACAAATAAATAGATAGGATGTCTGGTCTTAGGTCAAATGGGGAAGTTTGGTGATTACCGCTTTAATTCCAGGGAAGTCTCAATTCAGAGGATACCAACTGGCCTCATAATCTGACCCTAGAGAATGGTCAGTCTCTGGGTAAATGTCATCCCAACCTCTCATCTCCATAACTGAGATAGTACATTTCCTTTTGCCTTTCAAGTCTGACAGCCATTCCTTTTCATTAGCCAAGAGAATAATGGACAGATTGAAAAGAACCCCAAGCTAGAAGTATATGAACATAGATCATTGTCCCAGCTCTGTTACCAATAAGCAGCCCTTCCCCTGTCCCTGTTATATGATTTAATGATAGAATGGGTTGGATGATACAGCATTTGCTTTCAGTGACTCCAAGAGCAATGCCAGAAATTCTGTTGTAGACATCTACCACAATTCCTGGTTCATGGTACATGCATGATATATATTTTCTAATTAGTTCTCAGCTGATTAGTTAACTGAGATGCATGGAAATTAGAACCCACCACCTCTACTACAAGAACATGGTTATCGGAGAAGACCAATGTTACATATTTATTTTTAAATTATTTGTTTCCTAGATGTATTGTGTATCTCCCTACAGGCAAGTTTCATGAGACTAGGGATTTTGTCTGGTTCATCTTTGTGTCCCAGGGCCTATGTAGTGCTCATCAAAAGGGAAGAATGAGTGAATGAATACCATAAGAGTTTACAGAGTGAGCCAGGGAAAGCTTATGAAGATGGGGCATTTGAGCAGGACATAGGAAGATTCTTAGAATTTAAAAAGCGGGCTGGGCATAGTGGCTCATGCCTGTAATCCCAGCACTTTGGGAGGCTGAGGTGGATGGATCACCTGAGGTCAGGAGTTTGAGACCAGCCTGGCCAACATGATGAAACCCAGTCTCTACTAAAAATACAAAAATTAGCCAGGCTTGGTGGTGGGCAACAAGAGTGAAACTGTCTCAAAAAAAAAAAAAAAAAAGCAAAACTTTTAATTTAGAACTTTGCTTTATCACTGTCAATCTGAAAGCAGTATTACAATGGATTGTCAAAGCAAGAGACTAAAGTTGGGAAACAGTCCAAAAAAATAGGAAAAAATGAGATTTAGAAAGGCACGAACAGGAAGAATTATCGTAACAACCCACCCCAGCATGTAATCCCTTTGAAAAATAGTAACTTTACAATGGAATAATCTGGCAAACACTTCTCTAACCAAGTGTTCAAAGCTGATATCCGTCACCATTGATGTCAACTGGATATCATGTACCCCCTGATGTGATGAAAAGGGCACTTCACATCTGTAGAATTTTTTTCCCAAAAACCCAAAACCCTGGTCTAATTATGAAAAAAAAAAAATTCAGCCAAACGCAAATTGACAGATACTTTACAAAATACTTGACTAGTACTCCTCAAAACTGTCAAAGTCATGAAAGCAAGGAAGACTGAGAAACTGTTACAGATAAAAGGGAACTAATAAAACGTAACACTAAATGCATCGTTGTGTCTTGTATTGGATTCTGAAATAGTGAAAAGGGTATTAGCAAAAACTGGTAAAATTGAAAAAATTATCTGCAGCTTAATTAGTAGTAACATACAAATGCTAGTTTCTTAGTTGTCACAAACAATGTGATGATAAATTAGGAGTAATTGAAACCAGGTGATAGCGATATTATCTTTTCAACTTTCCCACAAATTTTAAATTATCCCTAAATTTTTTAAAGTAATGTTTTAAAATAACACACATTTATTTAGCTTACAATTGTACAGGTGGATAATTTCGACTGGGCTCCACTGAGTGGTTCTTCTAGTCTTGGCTGGGCTACGGTCAGCTCAACAAGGCAGTTCTGCCACTAGAGACTGGCTGGCTTTTGGCTGGAGCACCTTGACTTTGATAGGCATGATCTCTTGTTCCCCCAAAATCTAGCCTGATTTGTTTCCACAGTGCCAGGGCAAATTTCCAAGAAAGAATAAGTGGAAGTGAACACAAGTGTACAAACCTTCTTGAAGCCTAAGCTCAGAACTGGTACATCATCAACTCCATCTCATTTTTGTGTCCAAAGCAAGTCATAAGGCCAACCCAGATCCAGGGGAAGGAAACAGGTATCACCTTTTGACAGCACAGCTGCACAGGCATGTTGTAGGGCACATGAATTTCTGCCATATCTACAGTCTTTCGTGTGGTATTTAGTTTCTTTCTCCTTGAATCTTAGAGCAGTTCTGAATGGTCAGGAGCAGTTCAGTCAAACTGCTTCTTGTCATTTATTTGCAGCCACTGGCAGGGTAGAAACTTGAGGGTGCAGAGATCTAGCATCAGTGATTCTCTCTTTTTTTTTTTTTAATCTGTGATTTTCATTAGGAATCTGGTATCTATGAAACAACAATGACTTGCAAGCATCGTCCTGAAACCCAGCTCCTCCATTTATTAGCTCTGTAATCTTTGCCCATTTTTACCTGTTTGCACCTCAATTTCCTCTTTCATAAAATGGAGATAAGAGTAACAATGTTATGGTGTTATGAGGATGAAATGTATATAAGGCCATACCTGGCAACCCCTCCCCTTGCCCAGCCTAGATTTGCCTGTAGGAAAAGAAAAACACTGTTGTGCAAATCTTGCCCAAGAAGTTTCTAGCTCAGTGAGACATCACAGCTCTGCTGGAAAGGTCAACTCAGAGCAGCTTCCAACCTCACCTGGCCTCCTGAAGGACTAGACCATCCTCAGAAGAGCCTGAATTGGATAACAGTTAACTAGGCACCAGCCTTCAAGCTTAACATCTTGTTTCCTTTCTTAAGACACTCAGTTAGGAGGACATTATCATTTTAGCTGCATGGAGAACTAGCCCTGGAGAACTTAAGATCACAAAGCTATGGAGTAGGAGAACAGGGATTAGAATCGAGCTGTCGGACCCTCAAGCCCAAGCTGGTAACTACTGTGTATTCCCCCACTCCTTGCTATTTTATCCTCTGCCACCCAGCCCCCACTTAATAACAGGCTCTATTCCAAAACACTGCATAGTTCTTGATGGGGACTTTGGTGCTCCAGGGACAAACTCTGAGCAGCATTTGGCCACTATGTGCTACATTAAAAACTCCAAATACCCTTCACCTTCCCCAGTGGAACTATTTCCAGCCTTGTTATTCAAGCTCCCCTCTCCTAAAACTACAGTTATTTAGAAACAAAACATTAGGGAGCAAGATAATGAGGCTTTGAAATTGCCAGCATTACTCATCCCCAAAGCTCAAATGGAAGCATTCACAGCTTCCCTTCCTCTCCTGGTGACAACCAATGTCTCCAATTCACCACTGAGGAACT